CAGTTGCAGGGAGGAGAGAGGTACAGAGAAAGGTATATAAAAAAGCAACACCACTGATAATTGGCTATGATGAATGCTATTATCAGTCAGTATATCAAGTACACGTATTACGTATTAAATTACTAACTATTATCAGTGACTGCAAGTTTTCAATAGTGGTCTAACATTCATCGATTTATGATCTCAACAAATGCCAACTGTTAATTGATTTATTTTACATAATTTCATTTCTCATTTGACCTATATTTTAATAAATTTTATTCTAGACAAAAATATAAGTAGTTGAATTCATGAGTTGATTTAATCTAGACCATCATTGAAAACCTTGTAGCACTGGACGACCACGCCGTTCGATTACGGGATTCCTCAGCAGTGTGTATTCACGATCCCGCAAACGGAACTCCGAAACAAGACCATTGGTCTCGCGTGCGAACGCTTAAACTCTCAACTAATGAATTCAATTATTTAATTCTTAAAATCTCCACAAATCCCCATTCCGATAATAATCATCATGTGCTCACTAATGACTAGCCTCAAGATGTATTTCCTGAAGTTCTAGTGAGAAGCCGTGGTCAGTGGAGTTCAACCGTGTCGTGTGTGAGGCTGTAACTCACTGAAGACAATGGTGGATGGTCAATCAACATCATGGATTAGTTGAGTCAGACAATCAGTCAAAGGTCCTGGATTAGAGTCCCGCGCGAACGCACTGCTGAAAAATCCCACACTAGGACGAAAAGGCCGTCTAGTACTTCCAGGTTCCCAATGGTAGTCTAGATTAAGTCGATTCATTAATTGAACTATCAGACTACTACAATCTCCATAAACACCCATTCTGATAAAAATATAAATGTTAGTGACAGAATAATATGGGATTTAGTTTGAACAGTAGATACAAACTAAAGTCAGTTAAAGAATTATAAAAAAACATTGTAGCATCCTGAAAAGTGTTCACAGGAATTAAACAAGAAAATACTTTGAATTGAGCAACGACTGAGTTGATTTTCAATAGTTCTCTTTCATAAACATTTAGTTCACGACCGATCATGGCGGTATAGATAGATTTACTCATTACCTTGAGTTTCTCTAAATCATACTCATCAATTATCCATATATCTAATCTTTTTCGCTTACTTACTTACGCCTGTTACTAACAATGGAGCATGGGCCGCCAACCAGCATTCTCCAACCCACTCTGTCCTATGCCTTCTTTTCTAGTTCTATCCAATTCTTGTTCATTTTTCTCATGTCTGTCTCCATTTCTCAGCGTGATGTGTTCTTTCGTCTTCCTCTTCTCCTTTCGCCTTAAGGATTCCAAGCGAGGGCTTGCCTTGTAACGCAGTTGGCTACTTTCCTCAATATGTGTCCTATCCACATCCAACACTTCTTGATGACTTCATTCTTCGCTGGAAACTGGTTTGTTCTCTCCTAGAGTAGGTTATTGCTGATAATGTCTGGCCAACAGATCCGAAGTATTTTGCGTAGACAGTTGTTAATAAACACTTGTATTTTCTGCATGATGGTTTTCGTAGTTCTCTGCCTGGAGCCCCTCTGGTGCTACTGCCAGGTCCGAAACCCAGATAAAGGAGGAGGGTTGAGCATGGGCTTAGCGACCCCATCCCGTAGAAAACTAACTCTCTAAAAAAACGCTAACCAGTAAAAATAATTTAAATCTTTTTGGATTACAACTAATATTACTAATACACTGGCATTCATCATAAGAATTTTTTCTTGTACTATGCCGTCTTGAATCAATGCAACTATGAGCCTATGACTGACTAAGTAGTTCGTGATAGAACAACACATATAAACGAACAATATTGTTTACAATTAGATCCTCATCAGGCTTTACTGATCGTGTGATGATAAGTGTACTAGTTGTGAGAAGAATAATAATGACCTGAATCCATATTTCATAATGGGAGATAGATAGATGACTTAAAAGATTTCAATGCTGAAATAACATTTCTAAGAGCTATAAGATTACGTAATAAGAAGTGTTCAGACAATTGGGGAATGAAGCGTATATTTGAAAAAGTAGGGAAGTGAAGAAAAATGAACGAAGAGTATGAAAAGTAGTAAATAAATGTGTTACAAATTTCTTCTGAATACAAAAACTTGAATTGTTGACTCGAATCCTTAAAGCTTTGGCAATATGTAAGAGACGGGTTCGAACCCCATAAGGGAATGACATATTTCTATGTACTACATGACCGCTATGGATCAAGTGTAATAGAACAGAGTTGCATATTATTTTGACAATATCCTTTCCTAACCCCGAACAGAAATGTTCACTAACTTATTAACTTAATTGTCTATTTGTGTGTTCAATATAACTTTCTTCATAGGAGCAACTGAAGTCATAGAAACACATAGATGTGGCAAAACCAGGTAACTTCTTCTTTAGTTGAGCAATCATTATAGATCTAGTTGTCAATGATAGACAGAGGTCAATCTATCGCATAACACATCACCAGCTATATCTCCGACGAATTTCAGATTCAGGAAGAGAAGTTTCTTACTAACCGTTGATGTTGTTACTTTCCTGTTTATTACATATAAGTGTCTCTTCAAAACAAAAACTGTAGATAACCCATTTCAATCAACATATTATGAATAAGCTCTAATTTCTTCTTTATGATGTCGTTTAAGTGTATCTTCCTAGCTCAATTAGCAAGACATCTAACTAGGTTTGTCTTATAATGAATGGGTATAAAGCTCAAGAAATGTGTGTACTGACTTGCTGAAGAAATTTTCCTATACACAATTCTACAGACAGGACCTCTTTTCTGTTGAATAAAACGTCATTATCACTTTCCACATATAAATTTGATCGCTGAATACCCATTAATGAATAGCGCTAAGAGTTCTTCTTTTCCAATTTTCTGATCGATTATAGTAAAAGTATCATCAAGGTAACAACAATAAAAGTAAAGCTTAACAACAACCTCTTTGAAAGGTCCATCTTCTAGCTTCACGAGAAAAAAATTAGGCAATGATAGAATGTATATATGAACCCATCGCTAATTCATAGCACAGTATAGGACTCCACAGCAGTGCGCATCCATAATCCCGCCATGCAATATTCGAATGAGGATAAAACGGCCATCCAGTACTTCCACGTTCTCCATGGTGGTCTAGCTGTGGTGTGAGTTACTTATATCCACACAAGTAGTATATAACGGTAGTCAGGCATAAAATGTATTACAGCGGAAGATCGATAAGGAAAGAACGGAAACGGAACGTAATTGGTATGAAAATGCATAAACAATGAAATCTGAGACAATGGATTAATATTTGCCACAGGAAGAGTCAAGATTGAGATGATGGATTGATATTTTTCAAATTAACTAGTCACTATATAATTCTTAGATTTTGTTGAAATGCTCTGTAATTTCATGTCAAATACATTCGATTGTCCCCATTCGTGTTTTTGTTCACTATATAGCTTCAATGGACTCATGAATTCAACTATTGAAATTACTATAATATCTACAAAGATCACCCCTCTCTGATTAGACACTAACATTATTGGATGCTGGCTCAGTGGTCCAGTTGATTAAGCGTTCACGCACGAGACTGAAGGCCCTGGGTTCGAATCCCGCGAGCGGGATAGTGGATGCGCACTGCTGAGGAGTCCTATACTAGGACGAAACGGTCGTCCAGTGCTTCCAGGTTTCTAACGGTGGTCTAACATCAGTCGATTCATGATCTCAATCGAAAACTTAATAATCTCCACAACCCCAATACTAAAAAAATATTACATTTTTCTTTAAAGAGAGAGAGAGAGACAGAAAAAAAGAAAGAAAGGGAACTTCAATCAACAAACATACCCTGTAAATATTACATCATCATTATTATCATTCTATATTGCAATAGAAAGACAAAACACGCATATTATATAATCCAATTATCATATGTATTTTGAAATTCTATCATAGTTACAATGGTTAATTATTAGAATCAATAATTGTTCTTCTTTATTCATTTCTCCATTTCTTTTATCGTTCAAATGATGAATATGTATCAGATCAAAGAAAATAAACGTAAAATTGGAAAAAAAAAACAAGAACAAAGTAAAAAAAACACAAAGAAAATCAAGCATAAGAGAATAATCATGATGATGAATAGACCGTCAAGGCAAAACAATAAAAAAAAGAGACATTTAGGGGATAAATGAGCATGGGTAAGTGAGTGACTGTGAGTGAGCAAGTGAGTGAGTGAGTGAGTGAGTGAGTGAGTGAAAAGAATTAACCCATAAAAAGAATATAATAGGACTCTATTGATTGTCCATACACAATGGAACAAAAGGAGACAAACACACACACACACAGAGATTTGGCAAAGAAACAATTCCTGTTAAAATTCATATGAACATGGAGAGAATATACTGTTCTATTGAATTAAATTAACCAATGAGAATATGTGGATAATGGTTTTTTTGTGCATAATGTAGACTTTTTACATAGTAAACATGTTTTCTCATTAAATTCTTTAGATTTACATTCATTTATATCAATTGATGGTGATAGAAGAATATGAGGATTAGATAAGGCATCTGGTTCATCATCTAGTTCTCCTATTCCACATCCTTTTCCATCAATTTCCATATCAATAACAGGAAAATTTGGTTGAGGCGCTGATGATGTTAAACAACTACAACAATATGCAGAGAAAAAAACAAACAAACAAACAGGGGTCCAATAAACAGATATAGAATATATGTATCCGTGTGTCGGATAGAACATGAGAACATCATCATAGAGATAAGCACTAGTTAAGAGCATATGAATCAATAATACGGACATGTCAGATAGTCACGCCGTTTTGATAGCGTTACGAAGTTGCAACCAATGCTCATCTATACTTTTCGGTGGAATGGTAGCTAGCTTAGAAGCTAGCTCGGTTCGGTACTTACTAGCAACAGAAGTTGCAGCCAGCTTGCTAACATCAATCCTTTAGCGGCGGTCACTTCGTTGACCACTGTAAAGCAAGGTAAGATTGGCGCAGACCAGGGCATGATCAGAGTCCAGATAGGTACTCCAAAAGGAGCGGCAGTCTTGTACACAACCACACCAGCGGTAGCTGATCGCGATGTGATCAATCTGAGTTCAGGCTTGAGATGCAGAAGGACGCCAGGTGGCACATCGGTGATGACTGTGCTGAAAGTTAGTGCTAGCCAGAAACAGGTTGTGGTCTGTGCATAGTTTCAGTAGACGTTCCCCGTTATCTGTCCTGCGACCAACAAATCCCCATCGGCCACCTAAACGACTCTCTTCTGTGCCTTAACGCCCGACCTGAACATTCAAGTCTCCGGCTAGTACTACAATACCTGTCGAACGCACTTTCAGAAGAACAGTTAACTGGTGGTAGAACTCATTCTTGATTGCATCCGGGCTGCAATCTGTCGGGGCATAGGCGGAGATGACGAAAAGACATCGTTTCTCACGCCGATTTCTTCTCACTTTAATGGAACTTTCTGATCTAACATCACATAACAGACTGTTAATTGGATCCAATCGATTAGTGCTGCCTCAGCTCTAGCGCTTAGTGCGACACCAACGCCAGAAAGACCAGACGAAGATGCCACAAAGTCTCTGGATAAACGCACGTAAAACAAGCCCTCTGAAGAGACAGATGGAGAGTGAATTTGTAGTACTTCACCAGAGTCTTGAATATGGGTCTCGGATAGACAACAAACGTCGATATTAAGACTTTCTAAAGACATAGCCAGCCCTATCTGTTGTCCGACCTGCATAAGTGTGCGAACGTTGAAAGAAGCCAGTTTGGATGGTGCACGTGGTTTCAGGAAAGCTGTTTCAGTATTCGTATTTGGTGGTAGCATTCAATTTTCAACCGGTCAGTGACTCGAGATCGTTTAGATAGAACCAAGTTTCCACCATAGGCGAGCTGCTGTATACGTCAAAAAATAAGGATACACAAAGTGGGAATAAAAGAGAATGAATAAGTGACATAGTTAAGAAAATTAATAATAATAATGTGAATTGTTTGACTTTTAATCGAAGCGAGAATAGTATTTTCAGTAAGTATCATCATTTCATTCTATTTGTGTGTGGACTGTGATACTGCCCGGATGCCCAAACTGAAGCAGGTGGTTTTCTTAGGGAGCCACACACCGAGCCTTTGACCCAAAGGTCTGACTGACAAGGCAGTAGAGCATCGTGAGGAGATGCAGTCCCATGGTAACCGGCGACCAACAATTGGTTCATACACCATTTGTTTCTTCAGGATATTGGAGCCCATATGCACCACTAGTTTGGAATCAGGGTTTCCCAACTCCCCTATATTGACTCACCGTGTCCACCGGCCCAGTTAAGGCGCCGGACATTATCTTTTCGTCCTCTGAATTTCGTAAACAACACTGGTGCCACGAGAAGGCAGTGAGTAGGACTTCTCTGGCAGAGGCTGTATACGCATGGCCGTGTGAGATCATGTCGAGATGGCTGGAGTGTCCTCCCCACTCTCGTCTATGCCAGGGCATTATGGAGTATAGACGTCTTCGCAGTTCAGTTAAAAGATTTGTAGACTAAAAGTAGTAAACTTAAGACGTGAAGGTGGTGTCATACTGCCAAATGTACAGGGGATTCGCGTCATAAAGTTATTTAACTCGGACAAGGAGCATACCTTCACATAACTTTGATAAGGCACTTTTGAAGTATGGAGTTAACAGATTAAAAATTGGTCACAAAAAGGTGGTGTGTGACAAAATTCAAGTTGCATTTTGAACGCTTCCAGATTGCCAAAAGCACCCCTAAAACTGTTTCGTTATCAAGTACCTCAAAAAGAAATATTTCTCCATATCGTGTTCAGCTGAAAAATGACGAGTTCACATAACTCAAAGAGGACTAGATGTATTAGATTAATTTATAAGTGGTTTCATTCAAGAATTGACATCAGCTGAAATACCGTTGAAAACAAGGGGACATTGGATACTTTTCTTCTATCGTGGACTTCCCAACAATCTGCACTGATAACCCGGCTAGCAGTTTATATTAAGACTTTCAGCTCTTGCCTATGACAGTGAATGTCGGGTTATATCACGGATTGATTTAAGTTGGAACTGAACCACTGAAATTCAGTTCTGTGGTTTAAAAGTTAGAACCATTTTACACTAATAACGACTAGTGAAAAAGGGCGACTATAGAAAAGGCGCATATAATTAAAGGTGAGCATTGAAATGAGAATAACGTTTTTAATGGTGTGGAATATTTTCTATTTACCCTTTGCCTTTTGAGCTTCTAGTGAGAAGCCGTAAGAAGCAGAGTTCAACCATGTTGAGTGTGAGCAAAGCACCTATTGAAGACAACGGAAGACTGTCATGCAATATCATGAACTGACTGATTTTAGGAAATGTACACTATGGGATTCCAGATCAATAGTCTAAGGATTAGGCGTTGACGTCCGCGACCAAAGCTCCTAGGTTCGATTCCTAGACACGGGACCATGAATGTGCATCGCCAAGGAGTCCCATACTAAGACGAAAATAACCGTCAAGTGTTCCAAAATTTTCAATGCTTGTCTAACTTAGATCAATTGGTGATTTCGCAGGCACTCCCCAAATGCCCTGGTACGGCCGAGAGTGGGGAGAGTCCGCTCTCCCTCTCGAAATGCTCTCACATGGTCACGCGTACATAGCCCCTGCCAGGGAAGTCCTACTCACTGCCTTCACGTGGCACCAGTGTTGTTTACGAAAATGAGAGGACGAAAAGCGAATGTCCGGCACTTTAACCGGACCCCAAACCAATGGTGCACATGGGCTGGCTCCAGTATCCTAAAGGAACAAATGGCGTATGAACCAATCGTTGGTCACCGGCTACCATGGGACTGCATCTCCTCACGATGCTCCACTGCCTTGTGGATCAGACGTTCAGGTCAAAGGCTCGGGGTGTGACCCCCTAAGAAAACCACCTGCTTCTGTTTGGGCACCCGAGCAGTATCACAGCCCTCACACAAATCAATTGAGATTCGTGTGGCGCATATGTACTTGGTGCCTCCTTGTACCAATACCTATGTGTTAAATAAAAAAATAAAAATAAATAAATTGGTGATTTCAGTAAAATTCAACAATTTCCACAATGATATACTAACAATATATTAAGCGTAAATAAAGAAGACAACAGTAGAAAAAAAAGGGAGAATATACAATACTTACTTTTGAGTTACTGGATGAATAGAATCCGATTGTTGCTTTCGATTAGAATAACAATCAGCATTGTTGTGATACGGTTCTAGCTTATCATTAACAATCCATTGTTTTAAATCACTACTTGCAATACGATTTAATTCAGTTACAATTGAATTATTATTAGTAGTATTATTGTCACATGAATTCATTTCATTATTATTTAGTGTATTTAATGAAATACTAATTATTGAATTTTCATTAGTAATTGATTGTATTGATGCATCAATTGAGTTCCTTTTAATCATTGATAAAGAACATCCACCACAACATGTCGGTCCACCAGGACCACCTTGACATATTCCAAATTTTGGACAGTATTCTACTAGAATATCATTATTTTCAATATTTTGATTCGGATTCATTGTAGGGATTTCATTTGTCTGCAAGATATACCATGTATTAGTAGAATACAGAATAATAATAATAATAATACTATATATATATATATATATATATATATATATATATATATATATATATATATATATATAGAGAGAGAGAGAGAGAGAGAAAAGAATCGGTCTACGAGACTGTGGTTTTTCGTAAACTGAGGTAGTTGATGGACAGGTAATACGTATAGCCAACCGCCGCCTACCTTGAACCCGTATTGTTAACTGTCATAATAGATTGGAGGAAAATTAGAAAAGGTCGAACCAACATATAGGATCAACAATATGAAGTCACTTACTATTCGTCTGAGTCTTGATATTTGTTATAATTGATTGACTAACGAACAGGGACCAATGTCATTTAAACCAAGTCATTATTATTATCAGAAGGGGTTTTGTGGAGATTGTAGTAATTTCAATGATTAAGATCATGAATCAGTTGAAGCTAGACCACCATGGAAAACCTGGAAGCACTGGACGGCCGTTTCGTCCTATTATGGGACTCCTCAGCAGTGAGCATCCACGACCTCGCCCCCTGCGAGATTCGAACCCAGGACCTACTGGTTCCGCGCGCGAGCACTTAACCACTAGACCACTGAGCCGGCATCCAACGGTGTTAATGTCTAACTTCAACTAATCCACGAAATTGAGCGACACATCCACCATTGTCTTCAGTGAGTTACTATCCCACAACAGACCTGATTCAACTCCACTGGTCACTACTTCTCACTAGAACTCCAGGATATACCTCTTGAAGCTAGTCACTAGTGAGTATATGTTGATTATTATTATCAGAAGGGGTTTTGTGGAGATTGTAGTAATTTCAATGATTACGATCATGAGTCCCATAATAGGACGAAACGGCCGTCCAGTGCTTCCAGGTTTTCCATGGTGGTCTAGCTTCAACTGACTCATGATCTTAATCATTGAAGTCATTAATAGTTGTTGTATACTAGTTGGTTGGGGTCCGCGTGATAAGCATGATCAGTGGTTGGAGATGTTGTGATATTACTCAAAATCAGTTACAGTAACATGGATGCATTCATTCATTAATTTCATTTAAGTATTTAGTTTCGATATTTTGTACATTTTATTCCTTAAATTCATCTCTTCTTTCCTAAGTACATTTTGAAAGGTTTACTCCTTCTCACTATCATTAGTAGAACTGCTATTTCGATACTATTCCCATTTATGAAAACGCATGAACAATGAAATCTGAGACAATGGATTGATGTTTACAACAGGAACAGTCAAGTTTGACATGATGGATTGATATTTTATAAATTAACGATTTAATATATGGTTCTCAGATTTTATTGAAATGCTCTGTAATTATGTGGTCAAATACATTCGATTGTCACCACCCGTGTTCTTGTTCACTACAGGTATTACTGTGAATTGGTAATTTGTACTAATGTACAAATGAGTTAAATTCTACGTTGCTTACAACTGGTTCTATTGCATTAGATCAACATTGAAAACCAGTGAAAAACACAATATTAGTTAGTTAGTTACTAAATAACCAAAACACTAGTGTACATTAGACTCGTACTCACAATTAGTAGGATTATATCAAATGAACTTATTATTGAGAAAAATCTTAAGAATTACACATATATTTCATTCAATTAGGTAGAAGAATAACACTTATTAATTATGAAAAAGCAGTACATCTGTAGATTATATTCATCACGGATTGATTTCAGTGGGGATACCATGGAAAATTAGGAAACACTGAACAATTGTTTCGTTTTAGCACGGAACTTCACGATAGTATATACCCACAATCCATGCAGGTATCAAACTCAGAACTTCTGGACCATGCAGCAAACGTTTAACTATTGGAACAATTGGGTAATACAGTGAGACCATCATCTAATACTATTAGGAACAACTGATTCACTCCCGATATTTCTGAACTAAATTTTCAAATTTTTAATGGCACTCTAACTGAGTTCAATCTGAATCGAGTATATACCTGTTAACCAATACCAGGAAAAGTCTTCAACAGGGTATTGTTAGACAAGATGAAGGACTCCGTAGACGCCCAACTTCGAGACCAACAGGCAGGATTCCGTAAGGATAGATCGTGCACAGACCAAATCGCAACTCTACGGATCATTGTGGAACAATCAATTGAATGGAATTCATCACTCTATATCAACTTCATTGACTACGAAAAAGCATTTGATGGCGTGGACAGAACAACCCTATGGAAGCTTCTTCGACACTACGGCATGCCTCAGAAGATAGTCAATATCATAGGGAACTCCTATGATGGAGTACACTGCAAAATCGTGCATGGAGGACAGCATACACCAATCCAA